GGACCCAATGAGCTGACAAGCTGACGGCAGGGCTGTCACGCGTATCACGACTTTTTGGGCGCCGCAGTCACCGCCTTGCCTCGCCTCGCCTGACTTCCATTGCTTCCTCAAACACTTTGGTTGCTGAAGCTGACTCAAGCTGGATCAATCCACCACCAACGCGTTGCGCCCATCTCACTGCCTGCCCTGCCCTGCCCTGCCTGGCGCAAGTTGGTCTTGTCTCATCGGCCGTGCTGCTGCGGCCCTTCCCGCGCTCATCCCGCTCATCAAGCTTACCCGTCTGGTGTATAACCGTCTGGTATATAACATTCACCGACTCATCCCGGCCTCGCGCAGCCTACAAACCATACACCGTGCTCACTTCTTCGTTTGTCGACTTTTGCTCATTCTGACGATCCCACACCCCCACAAACTAACCCCGCCATTCTTGCGCGGGGACCACGGACGCCATCATGGATGACAAGGTGCAGCTGCTGCGCTCCGACAGCATCCACCGACAGTTTGCGAAGATCCTCGCTGATGCCCAAAAACAATATGCCGATTCCACCGGTCTCGATCTCAAGGACTACATGAGCCCGCCCATGAGGACTACTGAAGACCTTCTCAACGTTGTCAACCGCCAAAATGAACAGTTTACGAGCTTCCGCGAGAAGCGCCAGACCTTGTTCCAATGCTTGTCCGCTGCATGCAAGCCCCTCGAAGTCGTCGGCGAAGCCCTGGCTGGCGCATCCGAAGACATTTTCCCACCTGGCCAGACCATCTTCGCTGCCGTCATGTACCTCGTAAACGCCGCCAAGGACGTCTCGGCATGCTACGACTCCATCATCGACCTGTTCGACCAGATGCAGGACTTCACCATTCGACTCAAGTTCTACGTGTCGCAAAAAATGTCCAACGAGCTTCACGATAAAGTCGTCAAGATCCTCGTTACCATTTTTGAAATATTCGTCATCGCGGCGCACGAGGTGCGGAATGGCCGTCTCAAATCCTATTTCAAGAGACTGTTTGGGAAGGAGAGCAAGGTGCCTGAGGCTATGAAAAAGCTTGCAGCACTCACCGAGGGCGAGGAGCGACTCGTTATTGCAGAGACCAGCGCCGGCGTAAAGCGGTCGCTGTCCAATCAAGATCGCCTGCTTGAAATGATGTCAAGGGTCGATGTTAACGTCCAGACCCTTCGTGCTGAAACACGCGTGCCCCAGACAAGGGAGCAGGCGCTCTCCTCCAACAGAGATAAACTCAAGGGCATCCTGCAGCCCTCAGTATACCCAGAAGACTCTCTCTCGGCCCTGAACAGGACAAGGACGCCGGGCACCTGCGACTGGATCTTGGAGGATCCCTCCTTGAAGGCTTGGCTGGCAGGTGACATTCGTTTCCTCTGGGTTGCAGGAAACCCGGGGACTGGAAAGTCGTATTTGACGTCTCGTCTTGTTTCGTGGGGCCAAGAGCTTCTCAATAACCAAGAGACCACCAGCATGATGGGGTACTTCTTTTTCAAGCAGAACAACCCAGAGTCTCGCTCCATGATACGGGCCTTGAGGGACATGGCGTACCAAATCAGTGAACAGGACGTTTTTTACGGCAAGCAGCTCATTCGCGAAGTAGCTACTAGCGACGAGATCAAGACCGTGTCGAGTGCATTCAGGAAACTGCTTGTCGAACCATGCGTGCCCGACAGGTGGAAAAGACACATTTACGTACTAATAGACGGCCTGGACGAGGCCGAACCTCGCGAAGTTACTGAGTTTCTGTCTCTATTGGATGACCTTAATCAGCAATCTGCGGACGGTACACGGGTCCAAGTTGCACTGATTGGACGACCAAGCCTCTCGGACGACATAAACGACTACATCGGCAATGACTCTACTGGGGGTCAGCAACTGCGAACGATACACGTTACACCCGACAGAAACAGCTCAGATATTGTATCTTACATTGTCGAAGGCGTGAATTCTGCGCGGATTCTCCGAGGGTCCACCGAGGATTTCAAAGAGAGTATTATCGAGGCAATGGTCAAACAGGTCGATGGCTTGTTCATCTTGGCCAAGTTCATGTTAGCAGAGCTCAGCCGGATACGGCATCCCAGAAGGATCATTGAGAGTCTGCAGTCGTACCCGAAAGAAATCAACGGTATGCTCAAGAAGGCTGTCTTGGGATTCAGCGCAAGCATCACCCAAGAAGAGGCGGACGATCTGAACGAGATTTTACGTTGGGTTTCGGTGGCTGAGATGGGTCTCACACTGGAACAAATCGAGGCCGTCCTTACTCTCAAAATGGGCGATGCACCATTTCGCCTCGAAGAGTCTTTGAGAGGACAGTTCTCATGTTTCTTCACGCTCGAGCGCGAGGATGGCTTATCGACTGCGGATCTTGCCGACCGACATGAACTTCATCGCCGACTTTCTCTTATTGACCTAGACACCGCGAAGAAAACGAGCCCAAGGACAAGCCCGGACTTCTTGGACGTTGACAGGGACATTGAGTACTTTTCAAACAAAAGCACTACATACGTAACATTCTTCCACATGTCCGTCAAAGAATTCTTCAGGGATGACACCTCGACGGATCTGAGAGCAGACGCCAAATCTCCCTCCATTGGCTTCAAGCTGGCCGACGCCAGACTTCACGTCCTGAAAGCTTGCCTGCGTATCTTCACCGACCCGACATATTTCACACTCGGCCACGAAGGTCTCTCTCTGCAACGATACGCTGCGTGGTACTGGCCAGAACACCTCGGAGACGTCAAACGTTCCGATATCTCAGTGGCTGAGAAGGCAGACATCGGACAGCGCCTTTACACCATGCTCACGGATCCCACTGTGCTCCTGACGTGGACCAATCTCTTTGAGGAGGCGCTGGATATCTGGACAGACAAGAACATTGAGGTGGTCTCCAAGTGGCTGAAAGACCCTGACGTCCTCAGCGGGCTCAGCGTCGAACAGAGAGCATGGGCAACTGCTGCGTCGTCAAGTTCTGCGCGGCTGCTGGAGCCCATGGGTCGAATTTTTGCCAAAGCCTGGGTTGTCGAAGGCTTCGGGATGTATATGCCAACCCTATTCTGTTTTGGTGTGGTGCAGTCCTTGCCTCTCCTCGAGGAGGCTAAGCCATGGTCATACTCCGAACTGCACTGGCAGGATGTCAAGGTCGAAGAAAGAATCCAAAGAGCCACCGATTGGGCCAACCACCCCAAGACTGGGCATTGGTACCGAAGAATCGGCAGTACGCTGCTCAATCTCGGGGAACACAAAAAGGCGCTGGAGTACTTCGAAAACGCACTCAACATTGATAGCAATATCGTGGAGAGTTGTGGTCGCATGGGACTTTGCCACGCAATGAGCGGCAATTTTGAGAAGGCACTCAAGCTTCATCTCATGTGCGAAGTCGTAGAACAGGACCACATGGCCAAGGGCTACTACAAAACTGACCAGGAAATCAAGAACAGCAAATGGAGGCTCTACAAGAACCAAGCTCGGATTGCAGAGTGCTACAACCGCATGGGTCGTGTGGAGAGCGCCATTGCGTACTGCCGAAAAGCCATGCGAAACGCTTACGACACTCCTGAATTTGAGCCAGAGGCTGCCTACATGAGGGTTCTCGCCGAGAATAACCGCGTCACGGAGATGATTGGCCTTTTTGACGAGCTGGACGGTCGATACACGGACAGGGGGAATTCACGATTTGTCTTGTTTCTTCTGAGCCAAATTCCGGACCCGTCGATAAGGGATTGGTTTCCTCAAGCCGCCGCTCGGACAGGCAAAACGGAGGTCCTTGCAGAACGCTACGCTTATGCCATCCAGTCTGCACACGACGCGCAAGACCCTCGCAAGGCGTTCTATCTACGAAATTCTCTGGGCAATGTTTACATGGCGGCACAGCAGTATGATAATGCCATTGGCATTCAGGAGAGTATTTGCTTTCACGACTACAAAGCCAGAGGCAGCTTGGCTGTGCGGATCGAGTATATTGCATCTTTCAAACAACTCGCAAGAGCATACTCGTTGAAAGCCCTCGAAGCCGATGAGACACTGCGATCTGATGCAGTCAATCCCTGGATCGTCAAACTCGAAGAACTCATGGAACAGCAGCGCAAGTACCAAAATAGAAATGTGCCGCTCCACATGGCTGGCTTCGACTTCAACGAAGCTTCAATCTACCTGGTTCTCCTTTATCGCCTCCACAAACAAGAAAAAGAGTCGCGAAGACTGCTGTCGAAGTTGGTGTCTGAAACCTTGGGTCTATTGGAAGACGACGAGCCGCAGAACGACGAGATCAGTATCGCCAACCTGCAGCGAACCCTGATCGCGGCAGGTGACACGAAAAACGCGCAGGCACTCTGGCAGTCTGCGAGAACACCACCGGCAGCAACGGCTCTCGCTGGCCACTTGATCGGCGAAAGGCGCTCAAGTTCACCCAAAATTGGTGGTCTGTCTCCACGGAGACACACGAAACAGATCACACTGACAAAGATTTTCACTGAGAGCAGCGATTTCTCTTGCGATCATTGCCTCAAGCTGTTTGCGCCGTCCGACAAGTTCGCAGTGTGCTGGTACTGCATCGACTCAAAGTTCTGCTTACCATGCCTGGCTATTGTCAAAAGCCAGAATTTCACACCTGGACACACGTCTCCGTGCAAGCCGAGCCATGAATGGTTGGTTGTACCGCCGTTGCCGAAGGACCTTCAGGCCGGAGAGATTTTCGTGAATGGGCAGGTGCAGAAGCTAGACGATTGGAAGTCAGCACTACGGCAGAAGTGGGTGCAATCGAAACCCGGCACGGGGCTCGGTATTCTCTAGCTCACATCATGGCAAATGACAATGACCGGCAATTTTGCAAATCCTCGACTAACAGATCCAGGAGAATGCCATGATGGTTTAGACTTTAGAGTAGAGCAGATTCAACAGAGTATAATCTAAGCGAAGTACCCTAGTACTTGCATACTGAATACCTTCCCCGAGCCTATGATGCATTCTTTGTAGACACCTGCCTTATTGCCACGTGCAGAGTTAAAGCTCGTTGTGCATGACTCTCTGGCGGTAATCTCCTTTCTCTACCGGAATAGCTTCTGCGCCGTCCGTTGGTTCAGCGTCAACGTGTTTTTGAGACGCTGGCTGGACCTTCCCACCGGCTACAGACCGAAGAAAGTTCTCCACAAACCCAGGTGTAATGGACTCGCTTTGCTCCGAGTGGTACGTGAGCCCGGCATTATTGTTCTGGAGTGCGATGGCGGGAAACTTCCACTCCAACCCCATTCGTGATGGCACATCAGGAAATGCTGGCGGGTCGACCGTAACGAATCTGAGATGCTGAGCGTATTTTCTGGCGGTCTCCTTGATGTGAAGAGCGAATTGCTCACGACGATCTAGGTTGAAATCAAAGAAATAGAGGACGTTGACCTCGCTCTGTAGGCACACGATCAAAATCGCATTACTTTCAAGATGATGCTCCACGGGAGATAGCCCACCTCTATGAAATCAGCTTTGTTCCGGTGTGTCATCTCCGTAACCAGTCGAGTTGCACAGGACGTAAGAAATTCATCTAAAAAAAAGTTGTGGCTGAAAAAGTCTGTTGTCGACAGTGTGACATCATCCAAGTTATTGAAGCAGTCGAGTGATGACGGGCCATCCTCGGGGTCCCGTGAAATGACACCAAACGAGTATCTATGTGCGTTGTCGGAAGCCAGATCGTGAAATCTTTTGTAGAGACCTTTTCCTGCGTCTCGGTCTGTAAGGCGAAGGATGAAAACCACAGAATCGGTGTAAGCAAAGTCAGTGACATTTTCCAGACCCAGGCTGGAGATGACGGGGCGTAGACTGCGACTGACAAAGGCGGAGATACTGGTACGAGGGTAAGTTATCAACAAGCCATCTGGCTGGGAATTCTGACCCACTCTTTAGCTTGCCTCGGGCCTCTGTAATATTCAAACGTCTTTGGAGAACGATAGAGTCTGATGGCGGGATAAGACCGCACGTCGTGTTCTTCACAAATGCTCCAGTTGACGGCGCAATTAATGCTCATGGCCGATTTTTCGGAGTAGGTTATAGTTTCCCATTCGGTAGCAAGTAGCTGGCCACTCCAACTATAACGTTTGAGTTAATCATTCGCCTTGCACGGATAGATGTCCAAGTTGGTATTACCTGTCCGGCTGGAACAAGAGAACTCTATCAGCTTAACACCGCTTAGAAATTAGAGCACCACTTACATCGACGACTACGGTATAACAGTATTATCCATCAGCAGATGTATCATTTCGTCGAGTAAGCGTAAGCAGGGTGCCCAAGACTCACAGGCTACCAAAGTATGCTCACGTATCCTGAGAGCCTCATCAAGCTCCGACTTGCTTGCGTGTCTCCATGCCTGCACTTGTGCAAGCAGGAGACTGCCTATAATAAAGAAAGCCACGTGAAACATGATAATGAAATGCCTGAGCTTCCTCTTCGCATCTCAATTTTGAAAACAACGAAAGTGCATCAAACCAGAAAGGGAGGCGTGTAATGATAAGAGCGGACTGAGAAAAAGGAGTGTGGCCAGGTTCACCTTCAATTCGGGGATCGTAGAGGGTGTCCCGAAGCGTCTTGATCGAAGACGTCCTTGTAAATACCAGCGCCACGGGCGATCGTGGCCTAGAATTTAATGGCATGTGACCTCGAACGTAGCAACATGTGGTCGACACCATGCGGCTAAATTGAGTGGTAACGCGATGTAACATGCAGGACACCTAATTGATACTCGATTTGGAAAATCTCTGACTGACATGATCAGCTCCGTGATCATTCAGGGACAATGCGGAGAACATCTCCGAGAGCTGTCTTGGGCACCAGCACTCTGACAAAATTTCGCTGGATTCTCCAACACCATCAACGTCCATCAACAACAGCAGAGTTCTTGAGCGTTGCCATTTCCTGACGCTTTTCTCGCATTGAGGCGTTCTTTGGGAGCCTAATCGCTGATTTAAGACCCCAACCGTCAAGTGCCCATTAGGATGCGGTTGGCCTGGTTCGGCACACTGTATGCTGCTGCAATTGCAGTTTGCCGACGCAGCGAAAACGACGATCTCAGGGACTATGTTTGTGATCATTCAGGATACGAGGTTAACCTGTTTTCACACGCTCCTTTAGTCATTTACATCACCAATTTCGTGACGCCTTTTGAGCGAGAGCATCTCAAGAAAATCACGTAAGGACTTTGGCTATCACAGATGGAAACAAAAAAAATGCGCACCGCAAAAAGAACGTTGCTAATGATGATTAGAAACGGGACATTCGCTCGCTCGAACGTCGCCTCAAATGGAGGGGATGTGGTTTCATCCCACCGGACCTCACAATCAACAACCGTTGTGCCTGATGCTGTCACACAATGCATTCTAGAGAGGGCACGACAATTCCAAGGTCTCCATACGCCAGCTACTCATCTAGAGCCGATTCAGTTGGTCAAGTACGGTCTTGGGGAGCAGTACCATTTTCATACGGACTGGTTCCAAGCCGACTCGGGTGAGCACGGCTCCGTGGTGAAGGGCGGCAACCGCATGAGCAGTTTCTTTACGTATGTGGGTGTCAGCAACGATATTGCTGGCGGAGGAACGAATTTCCCTCGGCTTCAATCGCCGCCGGGGAAAGGCTGGTGTAGATACGTCGACTGCAACGAGCCGTGGGATGCGGGCGTCACGTTTCGACCCGTGGAGGGCAATGCCGTGTTTTGGACAAATTTGCTCAGCGATGGCGAGGGTGATGATCGGGTTTTGCATGCAGGCCTGCCCATCGTTCGCGGACAGAAATTGGGAATGAACATCTGGACAAAACAGGGGCCTTTCAATTGAGGATTCGGCAGTCTGTAGATCCGTCATTTCGATGTCAAGTCGGAGTCAACAACCGAGCTCCCGCAAAGGCCCAGGGTTCATTCGATCTCGCTGAGTTTGATGTGCTCTTTATCTGGAACTCGACGTGCTCCGGGCATCTTGGCCCTCCTGTCGGCAACCGAGTTCGGGCTGGGCCCACTTACCGCGGCTTCTGTCCCGGGAGACTTCCGCACCGATGACAGTGAGTGGGGCCGGCATCACCGAGGAAAACTTAATGAACAGAGTTCTAAGCAGCTGAATGACTCTCTTCAAGGTGACATCAGCGCCCCGTTCTTCTGCGCGGGCAACGAGTGACTCGTGCGAAAGCCGTAGACTCTCGGTAAACATTCGACCAGTCATCGCAGCGATACAAGCTGTTTCTCTGCAACCAACTGAGACGGACCAGCAGAGCAAGACCAAGTCGAGCGCAATAGAGTCAACAGCGCTTGCAATCACATCCCTTGGGCAACAAGTTTTCTTAAATACTTATCGCTTGTTACAGCTCGTGTTGATGTGACTTCCTGATCGCCTCTAATCCTTAGCCCTCGAGGGTTTTAGTCAGTAAGACCGCTTGCAACATCACAGAAGCAGTAATGTCCTTAACCAATCTACGTCACGAGTCTGTGATGAGAAGATATTTGTGATGCCTCCAGCGATGGCATTTGTGTTTTTATTGTTTTCGCACGGGAACCTTGCCTATCATGCGCCAGCTTCCTTGAGAGCTGCCTGCCCCTGCTTCACGATAGCATCCGTCTCGTCCGCGCTCAGACCCGGCAGCGGATTCCGCTGGCCCTTGGCGTTGAGAGACCCCGGAGCCTTCTTGTCCTTGAGATCGAGTCCGGTCACGATCTCTGCGGCCTCCGAATCCGTCAAACCCGTCGTCGGGTTGACCTTATTGTCACCAATTGCCTCCGCGTGCGGCCCGGTGCTGGTCTTGCTTGCCGCCGCACTTCCTGTCTTCGTTTGCCTCGTCACAACCTCCAAGTCCCTCTTCTTCGCGTTCGTATCGTCGGCGGACACGACCTCCGCCTTAAAGCCACGACGGCTCAAATCGTCTGCCACTGAGGCGGGTTCGGCGCCAGTGCTTCGGTCGACAAGTTCGGTGGGCTGATGAGCCGCTAGGCCACTGAGAGCAGGCTGTTTGGAAACATTCGTCAATAAATGATTCTGTAATTGTCACTGAAGACTAAGGAGCATACCAGAGCCGATGCACTGCCCGACAAGGCAAGGACCACGATGGAAAATCGCATGTTGTTTCTCTCAACGTAAGATGTGTTTGTTGGATGAACCGAATTCTCAAACTTGGCGCGTGCAAAAGAGTGTCGTTTTTGCAGAGAAATGGAATCGAGAAATTCGAAAGATTCAAATTGCAGAAGTGAATGTAGATGTCGACACCGAACTGCTGGTTACCAGGGGTGAAACCTTGGGACAAAGCAAAGAATGAAGCAGAAGCCGGTAGAGGTGGAGGGGTCCAAACGCGGTTGGGAACGGGTTCATTGATCTGAACTATATAGTGATTCGCATGCCATCTTAATTCCACGAGCATCAGTTGCATCCGAAGTCGAGCACGAACCAATGCCCGCGTGCATCTGGGCACCAGTATCACCTGTGTGGAGAAGGGGGTTGGAGTCTCAACACGGGACCCCTGTCGCGGATCTGGGTGCATTGGGGCGAAATGTCAGACAGAAAGGCCCAGCTTCGCGGACGAGAGGCAAGGATTATGCCGTATATCCAAAACTATGGCGAATCAACTGGCAGGCTGAGACGGCACAGGGGTCTTGGAACTCTACCCTGCAGAGCTGCTGGAAGGGGGATTTTCCAGAGAAATTCCACTTGCCGTTGGCAACGTGGGCACCCGTAGGACGTTGTCGAGACCTGGGCTCGTAAGTTTGGGTGTCCGCGTTGGGGCTAGATTCGTGTGCAGACTGTTTCGCTGGGTGACATCAAAGCGCTTTCGCGGGCTCCCTCAGGCCCTCCGTCTCCTATTTTTGCACTCTCGGGCTTTCTTTTCGGATCATTCGCAAGGCCATACCTACGAGCTGCAATCCGAAAGCATGCCCCTTTTGTGTGTGGAAGTGGATGAATGAGTGTGCGAGTGTGTGTGTTCAGGTGCGCCCGTGTCTTGAGCCGTTCAACCCGACCGAACGCTCTCTCTCATCATCCAAACATCGGCCTTCGCTTCGAGACCGAGAGGCCGCGGGCGCACCGACCATTCAGGCCAGCGGACTGGGGCAAATTTGTCATATGAGCGGAATGAAACAGCAAAGCCCGACTCGACATGCTGTGACGAACGAGGCCCGCACCAGCATAACTACAGTTTGTTAATGGATATTCCTTGGACTGAGCAGCGCATCAACCCAAAGAGTGTGCGTGTGCGCCAAGCTCGCCATAACGACAAGCCTTTTCTTTCTTTCTTCTGCCTCACCATCGTGAGGCTGTGTTTTGCGCGGAATAGGGGTTCGCCAATATCGGCTGCTGAGAATTGACCAGAAGGCAATTGTTAACTCTAAATCTAGCGTCGGCCCCGGATATGACGGAACTAGTGGCGGCATGCTGCGATAGATTGGAATCCGCCCCCATCTCCGGCTCCACTCCGGCCGCCGCCGACGGATGTGACGGCCCGGAGCCGGCTCCAGGCTTGCGTGCTCTCCAGACAGGAAATGTGGCTCAGCTTCCCCAGAAAGAATTTCTCAGCTCACCCGTCAACTTGGGAGTAATTCTCCGTCGAACGTAGGTAGGAGATTTTGTTGCATCATGTGCGGGGATTGACAGCTAGTGTGCTTTCTTCTTTTCAGCCCTGATCCATTGAATGCTGGCTGTAGACACGGAGTAGTCCAGATTCGATGCAGCCTTAGCTCAAAAAGAAATGTCGCGAGACGAGGGAGACGCTGGGCCTCTGCGACGTCGCCGTCAAATTAGTTCGCAACCGACTCCTGATGGATTTCACCATCTATCCCTTTCCTTATGCGTTGACCATCACCTCTGCCATTTTCTCCGGGTAAGCAGCCGGACGGTCGGCACTGGGCAATATATATCAAACTGGGCACGGCCTATAACATCGTATCTTATCGCCGCAGGGCCCGCCGACTGGTGCCGTTCACAAGACCAGACCGTCCGGGGTCGTGTCATTCACCAATTAGCCAAAGTATTATTGAGCAAGTAGACATGGTCGACCACGTCTGATGCGGCCCGATCTAGCAGTGCAGTGTCGGGCACTTCTCAAGCCTCGAGGTCGACTAAGCCTTTTCTTCGACCTCCTCGTGCACACGAGTCATTATTCGCTCCTACTACCAGTGGTGATTATTCGACCTTCGTCTGATCTGCCGAGGGGCACGGGCAAAGAATGGCTGAACTGATGGACCTCACTCGAGAAACGAACCGCAAGGATCTTGTGTGTGACTTAGCTCACATGAAAGGGGCGGGGGGCGGGGTTTGCGAAAGAGGCAGAATGTCGTAAAATGCGAGAACGCACACCCTAAACTTCCAAAGGCCTACGACGGACGCTGTGCACGACTGCAAGTCGGAACATAGCTTGCACCTACCTCCTCACGATTTTCAGTCCTTACAAGGCAGAGAGATTCAGCGGCCGAATCAATTTCTATTTCTGAATATGTGAAGAAGCCAACCATGTCACCGAAGCTTATTTGTCTCGGGAGGGAATGCCGAGAGTCTCAGGCCATGAACGCCTGAGATGCCAAGAGAAAGCCAGCTGAATACCACTGCAAGCGGAAGTATGATGATTTTCTTGGACAGCAAGCGATCTTGATACCGTGGAAGCGTCAGTGCTGATGGCAATGAGTGAGAGGCGAGGCTAGCAGGCAATAAGTCTTTTCTAAGGTGTATTCAATTGAAATGTTTAAGGCCGCGCAGCCTTTGGAAACTGGAGCGCTGGCATTAGATACAACTGGTTGACCAACCACTAGATTTTTTCCTTCCCTTCATTCCAAAATGACATATCCAAAAATGGTTTCATCTACTTATCTCTACCGTAGCGGCGTGGCTAGATGGCGTAGCTAGATCAGTCGCGAGCTATTTTTATAGCTACCACTCGCTCCGATCTGCGGCTAAGGAAAAGGTTTGTGGGGTAGGTAACGGCGATCACTCTTCGAGTACAACACGTAAGTGAGCACGAAGGAAAGCGGAGCGTGATCATCAGTACAAGCGTTGCGGGATGCTGCAACCGATGGCGAGCAACACGGGCGTCTTAAACTCGTATCCGTTTGCGGCACCGACGGCGGTCCAATTCCGCCTAGTGATGTTGGCCAAGCAGCTTGAGTTCAAGATATCGCTTAAGTTGTCAAATCATCGTTTACCTCACGTGTAATATGGTGAACCGTGGTAAGAAATTAATTTTGTGGCGGCTGATGTGTTCGCTACAGGATCAAATGCAGTGACATGACGCGAGACATCAACCCACCCCAAATGCATGGTAGAACACATACGTTCATGGCTAAAGACAATGAAATAATTCAAGTATAAGTTCACATTAACCTGAGATCTTGATACCGAGAATGCCATCTTCTCTATGATACTGTCAACAACCCAGCGCATAACCTCATCTATCGTGCCCACGCTGACTTTTCGCCATGGCTACTCTCAAGAGTACCATCTTCTTGCTCACAGCTTTGTAAGATGTACGATTCCCTTCATCAGATCTTCAACTAATTTTCTCGAGCTTCACTCTCGCACAGGCGTTGGACGGTCTTCCCTGTCCAACTATCACAACCACTGGTTTCATCTGTCCCACATTTCCCGTGAAGGCCTGTGCCCGACTCTCAACCATCTCTAGTCGCTGCGACTGTCCAACTGTTGTTCCAACATCAACAGTTAACTTCCCCTGCGATGGACCACTTCCGACGGACTGCCAATTGACCATACACATCTTCGAAACTGCGAAGCCGGATTGTGGCGGCGTCACGCTTACCAAAGTCATCCCAACCAACCCTCCTCTCCCGACGATCTGCCCTACAGTAACCAAGACAACATCAGTCTGTAGCACCTGTATCCGACCCCTGTGCTTGGGAATCTCAACCATCTACAACTTGTGTGGCTGTCCGACCGCAGTTCCAACCACCGCCGTTGGATTCCCCTGCGGTGTGGGATGTCCCGGAGGGTGTGCCGGCACTGAATACATCTACGCGTCAAACACGCCAAGCTGCAGCCCATCGGCATACATCAATTAAATATGTAGGGACACGAATCCACCTGCAATGGGCTTCTGTTATCATCATTTGCTCCCCGCGTGACAGAAATAAAGGCATCTTCAATTCAAATAGCTTTTCAACATATACATGAAGAATTGTTTTAAACATGTGAAAATTTGCATTTGTAGATCATATCTTCCATATACCTATATTTCAAATTGATTCCATCAGAGAATCTTACAAGCGCATAATCCTTGACCGTCTACGAATCTTTTGCGGGACAGTCTGCGGCTCAACACTGGTGAGTGTCGGCACAACAGGTTTGATGAGACCGGTGTTCTCGTCGAAGTAAACGTGGTCAATAGTGGTCTCGCGCATGTAGCCGCCACCGCCAGGAATCTGGAAGCGATGGTATGCAATGTACCAATCGTCAGTACCAGGAACGTTGAACATGGAGTTGTGGCCTGTGCCAAGGATGCCCTGGGAGGTATCTTTTTGCAGAATAACACCCTGGTATTGCCAAGGACCAGAGAAGTTTTCAGATGTGGCGTATCCCACACGATAGTTTTCAGATCCCGTGTCGTCAATGGAATAGGTAAGGTGGTAGAGGCCTTGGCGGTAAACGACGAACAAGCCCTCTCTGAAGTCCACCAGCCCCGTCATGGCTTGCAGTGTATCCCAGTTGACCGACACCATGTCATCATTGAGCTCGGCCACAAGAGGACGGCCGTTGCCCCAATAGATATAGTACTTGCCAGAGACAGGGTCCTGGAAAGCAGCTGGGTCGATCGCTTGAGAAGCAGTAATGGCTTCGTTGTTGAGAATCATTGCTTCCGGCTCAGCAGTGAATGGGCCCTCGGGCGATTCAGCCACAGCAACGCCGATGGTCTTCGTGTTCAAGGCGATATTGTTTCCACTGAAGTAGAAGTAATACTTTCCGTCGCGTTCGGCAATTGTTGGGGCCCAGGCATTGCCATTAGCCCAAGGAACGTTGCCGTTAGCTCCGTCGAGAACGAGGAAGGGGTCTTCGCTTCGGGTCCAGGTGACAAGATCACTCGACTTCCAGACGTAGACCTTGTTCCCACCCCAACCAGGAACACCATCGGTAGTCACGTAGAGATAGTATTCTCCGTTGAATACGGCGATGTTCGGGTCGGCATACAAACCCGGGAGAACAGGACTTCCCATCTCAACCGCCTTGATCTCCCACTCAGCCACCACCTCATCGCCCTTGGTCAAGACGTACTTGACTTCGGAAGTAAGGTCGACAGGTGTGCCGGACGCGGGGGACGAAGTCACTCCTTCCGTAGTTGTGAAAACCGGAGCCAGCTTGGTAAGGTCAGTGCCCGGGTAAACGGGGAATAAGACCTTGTTGTCGGTGGTGTTGATGATGGGGGGGACCTTTTGGGCAGTGCTGTCGGCAAGGGCAACCTCAGTGATGGCACCGACGTTTCCTGAGCGGGAAAGAACTTCAGCTGCGCTCAAAGACCTGTTGAAGATGGCAAATTCCTTGACCTGGCCCTTGAAAAGCTTGTCACTGTCGTAAAGCGACCGGCCAATATAGTTTGCAGTCGTGACGCCGTTACCAATGTTGCTTGGATTGATGTTGACATCCTCATTTCTCGCAACCTCGTAGCCATTGAGGTAAATCACAGTAGTACGGCCTTGCTGAGTAAAGACCAAATGTAGCCAAGTTCCTGAAGGGAGCTGAGATCCAGAGGAAGACGTCTTCTCACCCGTCCAGTTGCCGGTGGTGATTGATGCCCTGTACGGGCTTCCGGTGGAAAAGAGATAGCCGCTTCCAGAACCAGACACCGTGTTTCCGAGACCGTAGATAAAGTATGGCGCCTGCTGAGAAGCGTCGACGAGAACCTTTGCCTCAATTGCAATGTTTGTGACACCAGCGATGATGTTGTCAGGCAACTTGACATAGTCATCAACGCCGTCGAACGTCAGAGCACCGTCGGTGATGGTCGCTCCGCCATTGATGACTGCGTTATTGCCATTACCCGAAACATCCTGAACTGTGGTACCGTCAACCGAGGAGAAGTCATAGCGAAGGATTTCTCCATCTGCGCTGACATCTCGACGAGTTGTTGTTGTTCCTGTCAGTGCAGCAAGTTCGGCTGCAGTGACGGGAATAACGGTGCCATGACGCGGGCTTGAAGGGAGATTGTAAGAGGTCGATACAGTCCAATCGGGATTGCCGATGTCAGCAGTCTCCAGGGGAATGTAACCCCGGCCGCCGTATTCATCAACGAAGAGGTAGAACTTCTCGCCATGCACATCGCCTGGGTTGGACTTGAAAGAGGTCGGCCCCTCAACGGCGCTGGTTCCGGCTTTCTTGCCGATGCAAGAATCGATGATGGTCCATGATTCCAGGGTAGCACGGAGGGATGCTGAGCTTTCTTGGATGATATCGCTGCACCCGGTGCCGCTAGCACCCTCATCCTTGGTGAAACGGTAATAAGTGCCATCGGACTTGATGACAGTCGAGTCGATGCGCGACATACCGGCGTCTTGCCAAACCTGCGTATCGCTGAAGGTGACGAAATCACGAGTTGTTGCGTAGAGCATGCGGTGGTAGGTGCTACCAGTGCGGTTTACGTCGCTGTCTTCGTACAGAGACGAAGCCCAGAAAACCAAGTATGCGCCAAGATCCTCGTCATAGTAAGCCTCCGGAGCCCAGGTGTTTCCTGCTTCGGGAGGGGAAACCAGGACATGACGCTGGGCAGACCAGTTGATGAGATCATTCGACTCCCAAACTTCGAGGTATCGGCTCCCAATCCTGACGGAGTCGCCCCAGGATGTACCGGAACCAATCGACAAATCAGTCGCGATCAGATAAAAGGTGTCGCCTTCATGTGATCTAATGAGGAACGGATCCCGAAGACCTTTTGTGCCGTAGGATGAAGTCAAGGTGGGCTGGCCGCCGTTCAGCTCCGTCCAGTCCAAGGCATCATTGCCCTGGCTAGCAGCAAAGAAAATATTCTCTCCGGCAGTTGTACTTCCAGTGAAATAAGAGAAGGCGTATCCCTCAAAGGGGTCAAGCACAACGGCTTTGCGGACAGATGCAACAAACTCCTTCTGTTGACTCACGCCGTCATATTCGATCGTGGCGGTGAGAGCGACGTGAGCATCTTCGGTTTGCCTCTTCACAACGCCGTCATCCGAGATGATTGAAGACGCGTTGCTCGCCCAGGTAATGTTGATGCCGTTGATGGCAGTTGGCAGGTACAGGTTACCACGAACATCGTCGACGTTGGTAACAGTAAGGGCCGCGAGAGCTGCCTCAACCTGTGCTGTGGCATCTTGACCCCTCACAATCGCCGCGAAGGCGAGTGCCGAGGAAAGCCAGAGGCGAAAAGATGGCATGGTGTGGAGCGCTCTGTGTATTTCAGAAAGACGCTTAACACATCACTCAGTATTGGTCAGGCAAATGGACCTTAGTCTCTTTATATACAGTCGTTCGGCCCCGACTTACGCCGCCGCGGGATGTTGATCAACCACATGGCTGGTAAACATCAATATTTCTGCCCGAGAACTCGACCGGCCGTCTTGGGTAGCACCAAGCTGGGGGAGTATGCCCCTCCACGATCCAATGGATGATCATTTCCTCTTGTCGTGACGCAAGCTTCAAGCCAGGAACATGTCATTCGCAAGTGACCATCAGGGACCAAGCGCATCAGTAGAGGCAAAGCGTCGTGGTAACCGTTACACCGAAAGCGAACGGGAGCTTGCCGTGTCATTCAAGCTACCCCGAACACCCCTGCTTCTCCGCACTTTGCTACCCCACAGTCTCCAAGAACCGCTCGTGATGACGAGCATCCCGGCTGTTGAGACCTGGACTGCGGGGAAGTCGCAGCCGGTTGACAGGCTAGGAGGTACGCGCCCGAGTCAGACAACGAACAACAGAGGCCATCTGCCACCCAATATCATCGAGCTTTAGGGCATTGGCTCTTGTCATTCATGGACAGTCTGCGATAATGTTGGATTCTTCATGATACATCGTCGCAACGAGGCGTGGAGATACGAGCGGCTCGGTATATTCGGCGTTACGTAGTGCAAGAACCGATGCGAAGCTTGGCTACAGATCTGGCATGATCGCAATGTTGAAATTGGCCAAGCTACTGTCGCGTTCAATGCGGAGACTGTCAACGGTGTGGCCTACCTCTGCTCACGTGTAGCCATGGGTTGGGCAATAAAGCGATAGTGCGTCGTATTTTACCGGCGGGATGTCTGGTACTGGAAGTTGAAAGTGGGTTGTTATTATTGGATGATTTTGCGCCGGTTCATTCGTGACATCGCAGAAATGATGTGCCGAGGCAAACTCAGTACGCGCTCGAATCAAGTCGCGCGAAACCTCACCGTCAGGAGGCTGCTGCCCCGCAAGTCGTCCGAACCCGATTTCAACCTCGCTGAACCTTGTTTTCACCCTAGCCATTTCTTTGGGTGGTGGGTGTGTCTGTTTCCTCACATGTGAAAAGATTGTCATCATGTAAACATGGAGCTTGCTCCTCGACGTGCTTCGCCGATATTGCCGCACAGCCAGTGTCATTCATGCATAGGTCTTAAGTCGGGCCTGATTGGAGCTATTGGAACGAAAAAGAGAATACAGATGCTGCATCAGAGGCTGCGCCCATAGTGCTCCATGACAGCGTTCCTCCCAGCAACAGAGTGCCTGCTGCTTGCAATTCCATAAATTTCAACTTTTTGTTTGAGTAACCTATCCAAAATTATGTATGCGACTGGCCTCTAAGCCATTTCCTGTTATTGCAACGCAAGCGTTTAGTGCCCTCTTCGAATTGTGTTTCCCATAGTGTAAGGTGCCCGATTTGCGTCTCGAGTCTTACTCACATATTCATGAAATATTGAGATAATTCTGTCTATAAGTAATCACTAAGGTTGAAGCTGAGTCCTGGCGGACATGGGAAGCTGCATTGAGGGGGTGGGCTGTATTCCGATCACCCAATCGACTGCTCCAATACGTAGAAGGCCTCATGTTATAACGGGCGGTGCGAATCAGGGGGACAAGGGTTGACACGTAATTGAGACCTCATAATCTAAGACTGGTGGTTAGAAAACCACACGCTATATCACCCTTTGTTCTGTCTGGGGGTTAATGTGCATGGTGTTTTTGTCTTTCGATTTTTAGAGCAAAGATCAGTCTTCAATATGCAGACAAGTGCAGTCTTCGAAATTCGGGATTTACATTATATTTTGTGGAAAATCAAACATCCGCAGACAGGTCCCGATTAATCACATCCACCACCACCACCACCATCGCACCCACCAGAATCACAGCCGCCGCCCCCAGTATCGCAACCCCCTCCAAATCCACCGTCATCACCGCCACTAAACATGTTGCCAAAGTTGTAAGGGCCGTGGTGTGGGATTCCAGTGATAGAGGCAAGTATGGCTGCGTTGATGGCGTCAGAATGGTAGTTGGAGCCACTGTCGGAGTATCTTGTGGGTGACACTGTCCTCGTCCTTATCTTCGTCTTCTCTTTCTTCCTTCGATTGTCGAGTTCAGACTTGCTTCGCTTAGAGTTATTCTTCTCTTCGCTCTCGTTGTCGTTGTTGTGGTCGTTCGGTACTATGCTTTTGAATTTGGACTTGGTGAATATATTTCTGCGACGAACCCTTCTCTCGGTATTAAGTTGCTGCATTTGCGAAGTTTGCTCGTCGCTCTCAAGAGTTTTGGTTAAGTCCGAATCGCTTTTGCTTTGCTTCTCGACTTGACTTCCGGCAGCCAACATGTCATGTTCTCCATCGGGGTTGATGCTCGGTCTCTTAGTGTTGCAAGTGAACTTTGACTTGAGGCGGCTGAAAAGTATTGAAGCGCGGCTTTGGGACGGTCTCGATTCTTCGTTGCGCATCATTGCAGCAGTATCAACTCGTTTACGTGTTTCGCGACTCAGTGGGATTTGTGAAGTCGGGCATGGGAAAATTCTGATGACGAAGAGAAAGCTTTCACCTAAAGTAACATGTCAGCCCGTGTTACTAATATCCTGATTTCGGGAAGACCGTGATATCTCCGATGGATTTCGCGCCCTCAAGGTAGATGCGGTTGGTCATTGCGTCGACATGTAAGAAAGCAAAATCTGAGCCATACATGTCAATATTTGTCACTGCCATTGAGTGACCGCATTCTCCAACGTTGAAACTGGGCTTTTGAATGAAAAGTGGCTTCTCACGTGGACGTTACTAATTAGCACATGACCTCGAAGTTCGGATTCATACTGTGCGTGAACCGACCAGCGGCATGCGAAAATCCACCCAATGGTTTTCAAACTCTATCTGTACTGAGCCGCATCAATACTTCTGATGGGCATGAGATTATGTTTTCGCTGCAAATCAAGATGGATAAAGACGATCATCATCATTCTTGGAAAAAGGCTATATACGTCACTGATCGCCGGGTGAGGGCGATTGTCTTGAGATCTGTATGTACAAGAAACAAAGTGCTGACAGGACAGTCTGCAGTATGAAAGGAAGGAGACAAGGCCGTGTTCCCACTTCTTTCCCAGGAAGGAAGGGCCGGGTTTGGTTTTCCTGGTGGAAAGGGGCGTATGATGTTGAACAGCACCGCCAACTGTTAGCCAGAGCAAATACCCGACTTTGTGGGCTCGCAGCCACCAGCACAGCCGTTGTACATCTGACACTTGACCTTTGCATCTGTGCATATATTCTTCAGAGTAGCGGTATCGCCATAGTTCGAGTTGATTCCGACGATCTCGCCGCCGTTGTACGCGGTGGTCCCCCTACTGCTTGTTAGACTCTTTAATCATTCCAAGGGGCAAAGGGGAGACATAATCTACATAGACATTTCTGCGGCACTGGCTGCTACACTGCAAGAAGAAAGAAAGTTATAATTATTAGCTGAAGTCGTGGTGTTGATCGAATCCTTGGTGTTGACTTACATTTCCGCAAGAGCGGTATAGCTTGCCGTAAGTGTTGGCGTAGAAGTTGATAATCTACCATGTATTTTAGCGCCAAAAGAAAGGTCATAAGGGCCCCCAAGAACTTACGTTCACAGTTCCACAGCCGTTGTGTTGGACAATCTTGTCGGATGCCTTGTAGGCGCCACCACCGATGATCCAGGTTTCTTCACCTGCCTTGTCATTTTTCTGCATTGGGTGTCAGACGTAGCTTCATTCTTATCAAACAAAGAAAACGTGCGAGTGGTACTTACGATAGTGATGGCGTCTTCGCAGACGTCCTCGAACCAGACGAACTCGAGAGTGCAGGGTCCGTCACAGTGCACACCTTCAGCCTGGTTCTTCCCAATGATGACATTCTTCAACTTTGCGCCTTTGCGGAGCAGAAATACGGCATCGGCGTCACCTGAAGACATCTGTGAGACACGCTATTTGTGGCTGTACGGGGACTTTCTCACCTCCTTCGGCCTGTTCGTTGCAGGCACCCGAGCCACGGTCATACTTAGCCCAGCCACCATCGAATGTGGCACCAGCTGCTACCTCGATGACTTTGCTGTTGGTCTTGGTGCTAGTAGGAGTGGGAAGACCACCCTCGTAGCCGAGACAAGCCAGAGTGGACGGCAACGCCGCCAGCAGAGCCACGACACCTGCCTTTGAGAAGTACATGATTGATTGTATGTCTTTGATGCAGAAGTCAGGTCGAATTGGAATCAAAGTCCGTGATGATGAATTACGATCCAACAGAAATGAATCTTATGGAGCCGTTATATAGACGAGCGCAAGAGACTTGATCGCTGAACAGTTTCCGACCATGAAAACAAGCTGATATTTCGTGAGTCGATCATTGGTGGACTAAACCTGAAGGAACGCAGCTGTGAGAAACTCATGAGAAATGGTTTGCGGTTTTCCGGATCCTACGCTGGTGAACAACAATCAAGATGATGGACAGGCGGCCCAATGAGATGAATTTTCACTCAATGAACCGCCGTGATTTGGCAGGTAAGCTGGTTGGAAAGATAAAGATGCCAAAGGAACAGCCATGAAAGAGGCAGGCGTTGGGCAACGATCCTACTCTGAGGCCTAGTCACCGCCAACTGAACTTGTTTTGTTTTCTGTCCCTGCATTGGAAGTAAGATGCCAAGATCTAATCGGAAATCAACCATGGCAGTTGGAAAGAGGTCACATTATCTGATTGATAGTGCCAAGAACGACCATGTGGACGGAGAAATTCTCCAACAATGGGCGCCCCGGTCCGGGTCCCGGCCCCGCAGGTTTCCCCCAGTAATATTTCCCAGGAGTTGTCCGTCCCGCCACCGAAACTGGGGCCGTGTCGCGGACTGCCACCACAAGCTGCCGGGGTGCTATCAACCCCGCCATTCAAGCAATTTTAAGCACATTTAAGCACCAGTCGATCATGAGATAGTCGGAAATAAGCAGGGATGTATTCGCGTGGACTGCCTTAATTGTCGAGTGGCGCCCGAACACATGCATCCACTGCACCCAGCATGATGCAGTATCATCTGCAAGGGCTGAGTCGTGGCTCTCGTTTCCATACCTACGTACAGGACCGGGTTCCCAAATTCCGCAGTATGTCTCGCGCAGATTTCCAGCTGTTAACGTGATAGCGTTGGTTAGAACTTCTGCGGTTGAACTTCGTAGTGGCAGACCGCCGTCCCATCTTTGCGGTGATCGACGTGCCTGCTAAAATTGAAGTTCTCTTTGCTTCTTACAAAGTTCTCATACTTTCAGAACACTATACACATACAGGCGAGCGATAATTATCCTATGTTGTACAAAGCTTGGAGTAACGACAGTCGTAGAAGCCTTTAGGTCTTGAGGGCATCCTTCACTCATGGTGAAGTAATCTATGCATGGTCCAATGTTGACAACAGGTTGGATTCCAGATTCTGAAAGCCAAGACGATGTACTGCAGCCCATCTTGGGAGCCATTTGAAGGTGATGGGTCGTCTCACGGTTCACATAGAATACATCACCCATTGAACAGCAATATGTTACGCAGGTATGGTGTTTGAGTCAATTTGAAGGCACAACCCAACGACGTGGGGGCCCACAAGCATGTCATGAAATCGCTGAATAACCTTTTGGCATTCACAGCCAGCCTGAGAAAACGCTCCGCCAGAGGTAGGCCACGAAGTATGCAATGCAGTCTTACTGTAAAAGAACCCCGCAACTCATATACAGCGTGAATCAACATGTACAATGATTATGTGCTCGGAAAGTCAGGAGCACACCCGCAGATTAGCTAGAGACTTTCGATTCTCTCGAGGCACGGTTTCAATTCATCCATGAATCAGGTCCAACGCCCGCCACACAAGATGGCCAAGGACGAGGAGGAGGTAAGATTTGCACTAAATCCAAGACAACGTCACATTTCTCACGTCTCACTTCTGACAGTGAAGTACACCCAGTTTCGTCATGCTGGTTGCTATTCTCAAGGGAAACCTGTTACGCCTACAAGTTGGCTCCTTAAGGGGCTTCGTAATAAAATATTCCAGCGAATAATGAGAAATTGAATTTGCATGAATGCAAAGAAGAATGTCGGTAAAGTCCAGTGTTATTGTCGAGAGACACCTGTTAGGTGTCTTATTGCAAGAGGCGTAGAGATCTTCGCTCCTGAGGACGGATGTATGTCTCCGGAACAAGGCGAGGCTTCTCATTCCTCCTTAAAAAGCATTTGTCTCCCCACAAGTTGTTCTTGGTTAGAATACTGACGACTATGACATCTAGGTGAGTGTCTTTCTTCCCTTCTAAGTTTTCTTCTTCGCAGTTTGCCGCCTGGAGGCGCACGCTATGCCTGCCCCCTGGCGATTCGCGCTCTCTTCATCTAGGTGAGTGTGATGGGCTAGAAAGCCGCAAGCTACCGGTATGTCTTGGTGGTGCCAAAGCCCCCTCTCGCCCAATTGACCTTGGGCTTCTTGTTCGCCACCTTGTACAGCCTCTCAATCTCTATCCTTGCTCCACCCCACTTCTTCCTCTTCCCATCAAAAGCACGGCTGTAGACGCCGCCCATGAGAATGCTGCAGAATACGGGCTCCTGGAACCAGAAATTCCACCTCTTCCAGCCCCAGCCTAGGTACTCATTCCTGTGCCGGCCGTCTGGTCAGCCCAGTCCGCCCACTGGTGCAGCTTGACCGTCTGGGGGTAGGACGCTGCCCATCCAGGTTTGGCGCTCATGGCCTGCTCCATCTCCTTCTGGGGGGTAGGGCCGGCTTGCCCTTCCACCTACGTCACCGCCATAGAAGATAAGTCATTTACCTGGAAGTGAATCAAAGTGAGCGCCACAGAATGCTGGGAGGCCAGAGAATATGGATGGCTCAGCAGGATGCCTTGGTGGCTTGGGCAGCGGCTTGGCCCTCGAACCCCTGACGGCGGCCCAATCTGGCATGATTTCACTCGGGTCGGATGTAGCCAGTGCAGTAAATGGTCGTGTCTACCTTGATGACTTTGCCGTCGATGGGCTCGACCTTGTCAGGCCTAACGACTCCGCCGCTGTCTAAGGAATCGGTGAGAGGCAACTTACAACTAGGCATCTATGTCTGCGTGATGGATAGAGATTATTGGCCTATCTGGCCAAAAATGCCGCTGTGTCTGCGCTGGTGTTGCCCAGGTTGATGGGCAAGACATCCTTACCTTCGAATCTCTCCCCTCAAAGGCGGTACGGAGCACTCCAGGCTTGGAAATGGGTCTTCGTCACAAATGTACCCTTTGAACGATTTTGCGTAACGCTTTTCGCCGCGGAGTGGTTCAATTCTCTTAATATCAGGATACTTTGGCGTATGATTTTGTACCGTCGCCATAACGTGGTAGTAGTTGATGGGGGCGTTTAGACATGTGGGGGGTGGTCGGAGTAAGGGGGACCTCTCATGTATCCCTATGATTACTCTGCCAGACATCGGGGTTGCATCTTTCTCAACCGCTCGTTTGTTGGCGCTTTGATCACGGTACACGCGGGTGACGCTCGTGCTGAGGCGCATCGCAAGGCGCGAGTTGAAGTGCTCCACGTAGCTGGCGAGGTACCTCCGCACATCGCTGGCGGAGCAAAGGCTTGGAACTTATAACGCCAATAAGTCCAGGTCACCGACATGGAAAGAGTGGAAAGTCTGTGAAGTATCCCTAGTGTAGATGGTCAGCATGACCATTCGGTCACGTGGATAAACAACAGCCTCACCCTTTCTTCTGAGATGTTGACGACAGTTGCTATACCCCTGCCGAATAGCTCAACAAACTCGTAGATATCAGGGATCTCGGGGAGGTCTCCCATTGGCTTCACCATTCTCGCGGTTGGCTCTTTGTCGTCCTTATAGAAGGAGAATACGGTAGGATCCAGTAAGGGATGCGATATGATAAACCAAATGCTCCAAGCCCCTTGAGCTTGGCTGAAATGTGGAAGCATGCACAAAATTGATTTGGTAGGGAAAAGCTTGAGGCGCAATGAGCGAACAAAAATCACGCTAGCCCGCGGGTTGCCAAGCATTTGGAATGGTGAGCTTGCAAGGATATTTGTTGGGCCGGGCCACCTCTTGAAGATCTTGATAAGCTCGCTGGCAATTGCGTCCGCCTCTTCTCGGGTGTACTCGTTCTTTGGTAACCGATAAAGAACAGACACAGCGGGCGAGGCTGGATCTACAGCCTCGAGCCACCATTGGGCGACACTCGAACTCAAACTCTTGTTCTGATACTGCCCAACACGAACCTGATAGTTGCGGCGCACGTCCAGACCCAACAAAGTGTCAAGGGAATGGATGTTTCCCGTAGTACTTGTAATCATAGCTTTTGTCGATTCAACCTGAATTCCATCTAAAGCGTTCTTCACCCTGTTTTTGTTCCAACCGTCCAAGGTAGTCCAAGTTGTGCTTTTAGACTTCAAAGCGCGAGGGCCAAGAGGAATCCCTTTGGAAAGTTGTTCAAGCATATCGAATGAGACACGGGTATTGCCTGAGTTCCAGCCTAGCTGGGGTGTCATCGGTTTGACTCGCTTGCTAGGAGGCGACGGACTGGCGTCATAAATTTCGTCAGAGGTAGGCGAATCTGCCTTGGTAGTAGACTTTGTCTGAGGGGTGGCGGCGTAGATGTCATCGGATGTAGGAGAAGCCGCCTTGTTTGTAGGCGTTGTCTGATTGTTACTGCTCTCGGGAAGACCGCAAGGTGTCTCCGAGCCAGACTGGTTGGATGCTTGTTCGGACTCGATGTCTGACTCGGACTCGGGCTCAGACTCGGGGAGTAGTCTCCATCGGAACCAGACTGCGAAGCTGCGAGGGCGTTTACGAGAGGAGCCTGCTGTAGAGGGGCTTGCTGCAGAGCAACTTGCTGAGCAACGCTTCCGGTCCTGGTTGCAAGACGCGCCTGATATCTTGTGGGGTATCGGGCATTGCCTGGGGGTCGGGAAGGCTCGGATGTGCCAGTATTTGCAGGGTGTTGACCGGGGGCAGACTGTAGAAGACCTGTTAGCATCACGGTCTTGTTGTAGGAGGACTGAAACTGGCCGACTGCGCAGGCACTTCATCCTCTTCGGAAGAACTTTCTGCCTTCTTTTTCTTGCCCTTAGGTCCAACCTTGCCCTTAGGTCCAACCTTGCGCTTAGGTGGCATTCCGCCCCGGAGACTCATTAGCTCCACGTCACCAGAGGCCGCTGGACGGGTCGTCGGGGACAATGAGAGGGGGTCGTGGGCGGGAGCATTGCTGTCTTCTGATTGATTGACAACAACGACAGGATGATTGCCACCGATGGGCAGCGTGCGACTCGTTGTCAGCGAAGTGGCTTCGCTAGCACCAGAATCGGCGGGAGGGTTGTCTGGATGCATCGGAGGCTCTGCGGTGTGCGCACATTTGTCACAAAGTTAGCTGGGAACAATCTGACGAGCTGAGGGAGTGAGGATCTGGGACGCCTAGATTGACTTACCGACTCAAGACCAGGAGTCGTCGTGACATTGTCTGGGATGGTGGGAAATACAGGATCCTGTACTGGTGAGAGGAAAAAGTAGATAACGCGGGTGCTCGTTGCAAAATTCGGAAAATTCCCAGTCGAGAGAAGCGAAGCTTTGGCCAGAGGTGAAATTCAGAATTTTCGTTCCCTTTTTTGCAGACAATCTGGGTGGTTCTGATAAAGGAAAGAGTCCTGCGAGCTCGGTAGGGCAGCATTCAAAGCAAGCAGACGGCGGCATGCAGGTGGTGTAAGTCGGGAGGTCGAGTTCGCAGAGTGGGGCGCAATCTGGCCAATTAAGTTGTCACGAACCGTGGGTGCCCACCTCTGGCAGTGACCCATCGTCACGGTACCGGTGCCGTTAGTGGCAAAGCTACACCTGCTCAGATACCTGCATCGTCTTCCTCGTCGCTGCCGTTGCTCTTCAGCTTTGCCTAAATTTCCAGAAAGTAAGGCAAAGTAGGGACAGTCACTTCGGTCCAGTTGTCGGCATCCAACGTGGCAGTCCAATCAGGACGAGCTGGTCCACGCCTTGCAACCATCAGACCCATTTTCACAGTCAGCCAAGTCAGCGCCCCCATGGTTCTTCCACAACGACATCAGCGTTGCTTTGCTGTTTGATTCCACCATTCCACCTCAGCAAGAAGATAGGAAAGAAAACGACAGTCATCATGGCGCAGCCGCTCAGACAGCTCGACAACCTCAGCGGTACGGAGCTTTCATTTCCTGCGTGAGGTACCTTACCACAGATCCAGCCATGCTGACCATCACAGCCATTCTCGATTGGAGATTCAGTGATGCCTGGGAGGCCTATAAGCAGCGCAACGACGAGCTTGCCCAGACCTTGGCTGCAGAGCTTTTGATGGAGCCGCGCCTCAGCGATTACCACCAGGCTGGCATGCACCTCATCCTCGCTGGCGGCACCACCGACTTCGTTGAGCATGCCAAAGAGGCTATCCGACTCTACAACGTGGTTATCCAGCACCCCGACCTCAAGAAGGACGATAAGGCCTTCATCCGCCGCATGATAGAAGTGTCGGAGACGGCCTTGGCAGATGCGCGCCGCGACAAGGTTGCTCACCAACGCGAGGTTGACGAATATCTGTGAGGCTCCTCTCTCCCTTTCCCCTCGTTCTAGCAAGAGATCACAGCTGACGAAGCTACAATCAATAGCGCCAACGGTAATACAATGACCAGTCTGCACGACGCCCAAATTCAGGCCATGAACGACCGTCTTGACGCCATGAGACCGGGGGACAACGACGGACAAAACGACTACGAGAACATTGCCGAGCGCAACGCCATAGACGAAGATTCCGAGGACGACAAGGAGAAGATTGGCAAGGAGCCTGAGTTTGCTGTCCCGCTTCCGCCGATGCCCAAGCAGACCTCCAGCCACAATGTCTCGGCAGCTATGCCCGCTTCCAGTCAGAGTGTGCCGGAGACCGTTGCCAACTCCCAAGTCTCTGACAACAATAACATGGGCCGATCGCAATCCACCGCATCGACCGAAGTCGACCCCGATCATGACATTGGATTCGTTTCCTCAGAGGGCTCGGAGCACTAAGTTGCTGCGGCTTGTGGGGGGCTTTTTAAGCGTTTCGAGGACAGACAATAGAAATGCCAAATCCGCAGATATTCTAGAAAGGAAACCAGGACCATGGCGTTGTTTATTGCACACATGTTCATCACCAGCATTAGATACTGCGTCGTAGATTAGACTTAGTAGCTGGAGCTGAATTAGATGGTATCACATTGTGCCAGTCATGTTCAAAACAAAGGTGGTTGGAAAGTGTCTGGGGATAGAACGTAGGAATGTCATGATAGAGTTATAACTGTGGTACATCCACGCAAGAGTTTTCTCTGTGAGCCATCCTGGCCCTCGAATAGTTCCCCGTGAGAGTCATACGGCAGTCAACAAGGTGCGCCTCCAGGCGGCAAACTGCGAAGAAGAAAAGTTAGAAGGGAAGAAAGAAGGAATGCCGAAGAGAAAAGAGTTGCAAAAGAAGCAAAGTGAACGAGTATTAGAAGCAGAGTAGAGCCCGTCAGGAAAAGGCTGGGGTGTTAGACTTCTTCGGCAGCATCCATATGTTGCGGACTCGAGCGCGAAGCCTGGGCGGAACTGTGTCCAGTATGCGCACGTAGTCGGCCATGATCCGACCCTACTCCTCTTCGGTGAATCGTCGCACTCCGATGAGGTTTGCTGGCATGGCTGAGGCCGTTTCCCACATCTGCGACGAGGTGATGCCTTTGCCAGTAACTTCGTCGTCGTCGTCGTCTTCCTCCTCCTACCTCGTTTTCTCGGTTGGGTTAACTGTGCGTGTTATGTTGGCCCCATCATTCATCTGCTGGAAGGCATACTGGGCGAGATCTGTGGTAGTTGTGGAGGTGCGTGGTCAGCGTTGGAAAACTCGGCGACAATTCAGGTGCGTCTGTCCGCATCTTGTTCTAAGGACTCCTTCGAATCGCCTGCGTGAGCCTTGAGCTTCTTGTTGGATTTGGCAGCAGCAGGGTGGTTGGCAAGACGAGGCTTCTTGCCTTTATTGGGCTTGACATCGTCGGCAACGCTGCCGCGCTTTCTGCCTGCGTTTCCTATGGCAGCGATGCTGTTGCTAGAAACTTGGCTGGGATCTTATCTCTGGCCAGTTGATGTGTTTTTTTTTTTTTTTTTTTTTTTTTTTTTTTTGGAAGTCCGTCTTTGTTCTTACCTGCTTTGTGTATTACTGAACGCATAAACAGGAAGATCGGCTTCGCGATCTCAGTAATACGGCTCTGTCTGGTGGAATGTCTTGGATAGGCTGCTCAGTTGCGACGTCCACGTTTTATCTAGAAAGAAAGATTGCGAGAGGTCGAGGAAGAAGAGGAGGCTTTTTATAGTCGATACGAGTGAGGTGAAATCCAGAACATGGGGATCGCCTCGACGCGCGCGGCAGGTGCGCATCACAACCACTTGGAAAGGCAGGATCTCCAAATCATTCTGAAGAAGAAGGAGCACCCTTTGGCATGTACCAGTTATCTCAAATCGTTGTTCAGCTCTTCTCCTCAATCCCTTCTTTAATCTAGGAGATCAAGGTTTTGGGTGTTTTGGAGGGAAGCAGTGAACCTCAGCCTCCTCAATGATCTTTTCCTTCATTTCTCATTAGTCACTTGTTTGAAGCGAATATAGAGTGATTACTAAACTGGAAGAGATGATAGCATTTTATTTAGTTATTGACATGCATTGCGGCTCCCTGCCAGACTAGTGCTATGTAGGCGAAGACTGGGCACTCACAACAAGCCCACGCCTGGCGTTTGGAGAATTATTTGACGAGAAGTGCAATCCATCAGACAAGATCATTCAAACTCACCCACCTTGAATGGACTGTTGCATGTGACTGGATCTGGAAGTGAAGTCGCCCTGCCAACGCTCCATATGCACACTCAATTCACCAAGGGCCAGATGCGTTTGCCAGTCAATGCTTCAAAGCCAACTTCAACGTCGGAAGCCATAGCATAAGATTTTCTCATGCTTATAATCGGTATGAGTTTTCTTTTCACATTGGATGGCATCATGGTGCACTTCCATTCTCCGAGCTGCCATGCCACCAATGATGCGATTTGCATCTCAGGGTGAACGATTTTGGAGACCGAGACTTATGTGGTCTTTTATGATCGGAGTTGAGAGAAGGGACCCTGGCTCTGTCTTGGCAGTGACAGCTGACGTTGAAGTTTCCATGCTATTGGTAAGGCCATGTGCGATTCAGTCTCGGACAACTTGAAACAGGGGCCTGAAGTTTACTACCGCGCCAACAGCGGCCAGAACCTCATGCCACGCTGGCTTCCCGTTTCCCAACCTGTCAGACTCGGTTTAAACGGCATTGTCGTAAGGGAGTTTGGGCCACCTAGTGTCACCAACCGCGACTGCCTGCTGGTCGTTAATACAGCTGTCTAAGCCAGTTTCGGTCATGCCCGCACGATTGCATTCGATGACTACAGATAGCTATGCCGACTTCAGCCACAGAGGCTGCCATCGAATCTATTTGGAACAGATGACTGTGCCTCATATAGTGGGGGCCGCGTCACTTACAACACCATATTGCTCTCAGGAATAGCAATCGTCTGCCTTACACTGATTAAAAGACCGTATGGCTGCGGCAAGTGGGCTAGTATTGAAACGCAAGGGCGGTTATGCCCGAAAACAAAGACTGTAATCTCGCTGTGCTGCTGAGATTTGCAAGTTCCACGCCATTTGCACACGATGCACTCGACACTTGCTCCTCTAACGCCACCATTGATTCTCTCGTGGGAACTTGTCCAACTTGCTGTGTGATGTTCTCGTGAGACACAGCCCCGAGGCGATAGCAGCGACAAATGGCTGTTGAAGAGGATCACGGTTCGATCATATCAGCCGAGGGTCAGCCTCAATACCCGCCTCCGGTGTCCGTGGAGAAACGAAAATCAGACCCCTCTTGGGACGATGTACCACAGACCGCAAGAACCTCGGGGTTCTCGTGGTTCAGACTAAGTGCAAATGGGCCTCCAGGGCCCGTCGACGAGCTGAGCCTTTACATGGGCGCTGCATTCAGCAGCATACCCGACGACGACGAATCACAACGATCGCCGTATTTTTCGACATGGGCGAGCGATGCCTCTAGCGTGGCGGTGGGAGAGAAGCGAAACTCGGCGTCACAAAAGTTCGCAGTGGACTGGAACAAGCCGTACGATCCGGAGAATCCGATGAACTGGGCTATGGCGTCAAGGTGGATTCAGATTGTGCTTGTGAGTATCTTGACGCTACAAGCGTGAGTATTGCATCCGACTATGTTCTTTGGAAATATCTTATCCTGATCACATCCCAGAGCGATCGCGTCGTCGATGCCCGCCCCTGCCGTCCGAGAGATTTTGAAGGACTTCAATGCGCCTGATGGTGTGCTATCCTCGCTCGTCGTATCAATCTTCAATCTGGGCTTCGTGTTCGGTCCCGTGTAAGTGTATTCCACAAGCGCACGAACTGCCCTGGTCCCGCGGCATCGGCTAACGACGTATAGACTAGCAGCGCCCATGTCGGAGCTCTACGGACGATATCCAGCATACAGCATCTCGAACGTGCTCTTTCTCGCCTGCAATGCCGCTTGTGCCGTCTCGCCAAATCTCGGGGTTCTGCTGGTATTCCGCTTCTTGAGCGGATGCGCCGGTGCAGCCCCACTGTCCATCGGGGGTGGCACGATCGCGGACGTCGCACCTCCAGCGCTGAGGGGCAGAGCGGTGTCGGTATACTCTCTCGCGCCGCTCCTCGGACCAGTCCTGGGGCCTGCGGCGGGCGGCTTCTTGGCAGAGTATGCTGGCTGGAGATGGATCTTTTGGGCGCTGTGCATCATGGTAGGTTGGGGCGAGCTGTCTGTACGAGAGACAAAAGACAACGTCACTGACGAAGGCTTCGTGTCGCAGGCCGGCGCTCTTGGACTCGCAATGCTCCTGATTTTGAGGGAAACCTCTGCAAAAACTCTACTCGAGAAACTAGCGCAAAAGACGAGAAAGCGTACGGGAAATCCCAGATACACTTCGGTTCTAGACGACGGCGTCTCGCCCCAAGAGGCCTTCTCTCGGGCCATCAAACGACCGCTGAGGCTCTTGATACTTCATCCCATTGTATTCACTTTGTCTGCATACTTTGCAGTCATCTACGGATATCTGGTACGGCAGTCGCCTTACTCGTGTCAAATTCAGCTGACAATTCTTTGCAAGTACCTATTTTTCACGACCGTAGCAATGGTCTTCACTGAGAAGTACGGCTTCTCCGCAGGCTCTTCCGGCCTCACCTTCATAGGTGTCGGTATCGGTACAGTGACCGGCACCCTTATTGTCTCTTTCTGGGGGGACAAAGTAGCTACATCGCTATCTCAAAAGCGTGGCGCCCGGACACCGGAGTTTCGCCTTCCTTTGATGGCGTATTCTGTGCCGGTGATACCAGGAGGGCTTCTGATGTACGGTTGGACGGCAGAAAAGGGGGTGTTTTGGCTGGTGCCGATGATTGGAACTTTCATTGTTGGGGTCGGGATCTTGTTTGTGTTTGGCCCGCTGGCCTCTTATCTTGTCGATGCATTTACTATGCACGCTGCGTCAGCTCTCGCCGCTTCGACAATTTTTAGGAGCATTTTTGGGGCATTTCTTCCTCTCGCAGGACCTCCGTTATACGACGCTTTGGGTTTGGGGTGGGGGAATACGATTCTTGCTGCTTTTGCTTTGCTTATGGCGCCGATACCCTGGGTGATTATGAAAAAGGGGGAGCTCATCAGGGGCAAATATGCCCACCGTGTTTACTAGACCATGTTTGCTCAGCCTTTTCGATTGTGCGTCATAGAAAATTCAATAGATTCCATCATGAAGAGCGGGATTCAAAGGAAATGGCGTGATTGTCGCAGCTGGATCGACAGATCTTCTTTCCCATCTGAATGGAAGTGTCTGCCATGCAGTAGACAGGGCGCCAGATACTGTAGAACATCTTTGGCAACACGGGCAAACACCTGGTCACGAAAGCCAGGATCTTGTATCTACCTTGGACGACCGTAAGTAAATTTGAGTAGCTCATAATTTCTCTCTAGCTGTGATGTTCAGTAGATAGTCTGTTTATGAAGAAGTCCCGGGTACTTGGCTGTCTTGTTAAGATTCACGAGGTGCTACGCACTGCGTTAAGATGAATACATGAGCTCTTTGTACAACTGAAAGTGTTAATAAGATGTTGCTAATTCTAATAACACTCTAACTTCAACGTCAACTTCAGCTTGCGGGGATTATGGTCCAGATAACAGAACCAGCAGTCTCAAGAGATACAAAGCCCATCGGCGTTGCCTCCACATACTGCCCCCTCCTTACCAGTGGATTTTGTTATTTCCTGATCGACAGGTCATCTTTGGACACATTTGTCCTCGCCAGCCTTCACCAGTTGACAAGGCCTGCCAACAGCCAGGGGCTTCTCGTCTCATGGGCGAAGCACAACAACACCAACACGAAGAAGGCGAGGAGATCGTAGAGGATCCGGCTGCCTCCCCATCAAGCCCTTGGAGCAGCTGCCGAGCCATTCTCATCCTACCCCTCAAAGTTTTGTTGAGAATCTGTCGCAGACCAATAAGTTCTTCCTCCAGTAGCGCTGCTCTACAGGATTCATCCGCATCCTCTCGTCATGCTGGTTGCCGTCGTGGGAAACCATCGCGAGTCGCACCTCACGAAAACACGACCTCGCCAGCCTCTTTTCCTCGCACCCGAGGAGACGCATATCGTAAAACAAGTCCTCAGGGGGTGGGCAAGTCCACATCGAACGACACCTAGCTGAAACTGTGCGACCTCCCCGAGAATATTCAAGTCCAGCTGACCAAAACACAAACAAGCGTCGTGACAAATCAGAGAGCTGCATCTCGACAGTGCCGGTGTAATGCCCAGTCCTAACTGGACCTTCATGGCATATTTGTACTTACGGGCTAGCTCTCTCGATAGACTAGCGGGCCACACTGGATTATATCGGGAATAGTCGCCCCGGCAGTTCCCTTGGCCTCGCCTGCAAGCTGTTAGAAAACCAAGGTTGAGGACCGTCCGGCATACTCGAGATAGCAGCAGACGGCAGGCAGGCAAAGCAAAAAGGCATACAGGCTTATCTGCGATAATACGAAGCGGCAGCGGCTCCCCAGCCCCGAGCAGACGCAGACGCGTCTCCGCACACCATACGCAGAAAAGCACATAGCTTCTGAGACATCCATCCACACCGCTTGGCCGCAGGTCTGAGTCACATGGCAAGTCACAACCCCCCTCCCTCCTCGAGCTTGCTACGCAGACGGGCGTACCGTCCGTGACCGCCTAGCCGCTGCCAAGAGGAAGTTCCGTCTAGATCCCAGGGCTTTGGATTGTGGCTTGATTTGGGTATTGGGCAGCTAGCGCCGTGATTGGGCGGCGTCGAACGATTTCTTGCATGAAACAAATAACAGGCTTTACAAAGGAGACAACCCTCACGACGACGACCTTCGGGACCGAGTGGCTGATGAGCGCCACATCCCGTGCCCGACTCCCATCGTCAGCCACGAATGGATACCAGCATGTCAATATATCGGTTTGATATGAGGTCAAGATGACGGGAACAAATGCTCCTATAGTTGGGAGCGTGACCGGGCCTTGCCTCAGCATGGCATGGCCTCGAGTGGTGCCGGAGGCTCGCGCCGTGCGGTGGTCAAGAGTTCCTCCGTCCTTCATCAGCAGACCAGATAGGCCCCATCAAGGCTGGCAAAAAAAGGGCCCAGTCACCCTTAACTTCAAGGTTCGTCAAAGGGACTTCCCCGGTTCCCTAGGCTGGCGCAGCCGTGCGGGAATGTCACCGTTCCGCTACAACCAGAGTGGAGATGTGTCTGAAGGTTTTGGGGCGGACAGCTTTCGTATCACCACGGCAAGCAGCTACGCGGGCGACGACGCGTCGCGAGGGCAAGATCCGAGACTACCGGCGTGCTTCCAAGAGGAGAGAGAACACATCATGGTATGCCAGCCAGGCCACAAGAGGGCGGAGTGGGACGCGCCGGCAAGGATGGGTGGGTGGGGATCATGGGGTTCGAGGGTGATGCGCTCTCTCGATATCTAGAGCAAGACGATCTCGCAGAAGAGGGTGTGGGAGATGGAGCTTGCCAATAGAGATGGTGTTGCGACTAGCAGCTGGTTCCCTGTTTGGAGGACACCCTGTCGACGGCAGCCCACGGCAGGGTCAGTGCCACCGCAGAGACTTGGCTGGACGTCGGTTCGGGATTTCTGTTAAGCATAAGACAACAGCAGGGTGTCTCTATTCGTTCACAGCGAGGGAGTCGGAAGTCGGAATGGCAGTTGTGGATGACAAGGGCCCCCCCAGGTGATCAAATGCGGAGGACTACAGCAAACGCAGAGGAGCAGAAGCGCGAGACCTTCAGATGGACAAGAAGAAATACAGCCAGTAGCATCCGTGCCATGTGTGAGCTGGCTTGGTGTTCGACTCGACCCAGAGATGAACCGACCGACTAGGTCTGACATGGCGCCGTCGTAGGGCTACGCTTCAAACTAGTCCGGTGGCTGGACGTGGCTTGTGCCGTCAGCATGGCAAGAATATGGGGTACCGGCGCGAAGAGCAGCCCGGGATCTTCGCGAGCAGACTTGTGGCGAGGACTTGAGCTTAGCTAAGGGGCAAGTCATGCGGCAGTTATTAGTGGAGGGACAAGGGGAAGGAGGACAATACGAGAAGCGTTGGTTGTGATATCCTGTTTGGATGAGAGAAGATCAAGAGTGTGGGGTGCTGGGAGAGGACGAAGAGAGTGATGGTGTGGAGGATCGGGAAGGGTGAGCGGAGGCTAGTCGTGATTTGTCTGACATGTTCCCCATGCGGCCGCTCTGGTGACCGCCATTCAATACCGAATAGTCAAAGATCGAGAATGCAGGCGCCGTGAATCCGAGAAAGTGTTTCGTCGACTTCAGACCTAGGCCACAGAATCCCGCTGGGGAGGAATCGAATCACATCCGAGAGCCAAAAGACGGACGAAAGAATAGAGGACATGTCGTGCTTGTGGCATCGGGATGTACCATCGGGAGGGCGGGCTGCGAACTGCTGCGAGTGACACCGGCCGCATACATAGCCGTCCGTCCTTATACATTTGATATGGGCGGCCGACCACTAAGAGTCGGGACGACCTCGAAGTCGTCGAGCGCACGGAGCCACTTGACGCGACGCCACACAGCTTAGGCAGGGCGACGACGACGACGACGACGACCGTTTGCTGTGGTTGAGGGTGGACGCTGAGGGCTGGTAGACCCAAACGGGCGTGGTCCATTTTCGAGATGGAGGGGACGGAGACGACGGAAGACTGGAGAGGAGCGTCCTTGTTTGCTCAAGGAGGGGTCGTCTTGGAGGGTGGGGGTTGGCCGTGGATGAGTCCTGGGATATTGAAAGCAAACGGCGGGGAGGCTGAGGGAGGATCGGCGTAGGGAATGGGAACCCTTGCACCCTTGCTGCGCTGAGCGAGCGCGAGTCTTGCGTCTTGAGTGCATGGCGAGGTCTGGAGGCGGCGTGGACTAGGGCGAAAGGGGACCTGCTGGTCCAGACCAGGACGAGGGTGGCTTGATCGGGGAATGTCGATGCAGAGCAGGCGGCTTTGCTGGTGGTGTCGAGCGAGAACTTGGCGTGGTTGAAAATGGACGACACGGAGCGCAGAGCGGTGAGCATGGCAAATGATGGGCTGGATGGAGGAGGGGACGGCGCGTGGTTGTAGGTGCCTCTGTGGGCGTGTTGTTGGTGATCCATGATTCATGATGCAGAATATTGCGACTGATTTGGAATCCAGGCGTGGATGGTGTTGCGAGAAACTGGAAGACTGTCCGTCAGGCTGGGGATGTCATGTCGAGTCGAGAGCGTCTGGAAGCTTGGGCTGAACACAGACAAGGTAGGCAGACAGACAGACAGACAGATGTGAGGTGAGCCAAGCTGTCAGTCGGTTTGAACAGATGGAACAAGAATTTCTGGCGCAGACGCGAGATGCGCCTCTGCGGTTGTCAGTCGGCGGGCCGCCCCACCAGTCAGTCTCCAAACGGTATGTCATGGTTCAGATGAGTTTCCATCGGAAGAAGAGGGCGTCGACGTTTTGCCCAGGATGTTTCACTCGGGGGCGTCAAGCCGCACGGGGGGAGGGGTGGGCATGGGCATGCCGCTGCGCAGCAGTTGGGGTCAAGATGGGAAAAAGACAAGCGGATGGGGTTTTGTTGCAGGGATCAGCACGTAATGTATTCAATCAAGCAATCAGTGGTGCGGTGCACGCAGCGCGATGTGATGCCATGATGCGATGCGGGCCGCGCGCAGGTGGAAGCGGACGTGACTGTATGTATGTATGTATGTATCGTGGTTTAATGGCGACAACGACGGCGACGAGGAGGAAGAGGAGGATTTGCTTTGAACGACGTTGGCGCAACAGCCTCCTGCAGTATCGGACCTTTGCCGGGCATCCCATCTCTGTGCGATGTGACGGCGCACCCGCAACCCACGGGGAAAGCTTGTGCGAGAGCACACGGAGCACGACAGGTACGATTTCGTCTTGGCCGGCAGCCATGCAGCGGATGTGTGCCTGTGACTGCTGTGGTCACCGGCTGGCTGGCTGGCTAGCTTACTGACTGAATGATTGATTGCCTTACCGGAGGCATCCGGAACCCCAGGGAGAGGGGGCAGAGCGGAAGAGACCAGTCGCTGCTCACCGAGAAGAGGCAGCTGTCGTCGGGTAGCCACCTGGGGTTGACCGCGTTCCGAAAAGAGTTGGTGAGACGGGTGGCTGCTGGCCGAGGCTGCAACGCCGTCTCAAAGAAGAGCATAATGCAGGTTTGACCACAGCATGGGAGGGGGAGAAGCAAAGAGACAGACAGAAAGAGATGGAGAGAGAAGCGGACCACAAGGAGGGCCGGGATGAGCAGACCTGCAGAGTGCAGCAGCCTGGCGGACGAGATGGAGCAAGATCAGAGGAGGCACTGCCGGCCGGGGCTTTGATGACGACAGCCCCTGTTGAAGGAGTTGTTGAATGTTGTCTACGAATACCTAGCTGTTTGTCTGGCTGTCTCAACTTGCTCGACTCAGCCGAATACATGTCTGTGCATACGAATGATTGCACATGATGGACAGGGAAGCGGTTCGAAGAATAGACACATATTGAAGCCAACAGGCAATAGAAACGAAAACATTGATGACAAAAGTGCTCTCAGCCCGGTTGGTTGGATGGTTGGCTGGATGGTTAATTGATTGATCGATAGAATGAACGATCGTCCAACGGGAGAATTGCTCGAGACATGCGTCGGGTGCTGGAGACGCCATCGGCCGAGAATCGGGCTGGGCAATCCCACCCGAGGACCTACAGGCTCCAACCCCAGGGCTGGCGAGGCGCCTGTTGGCTGGATGCACCATGCTGTTGAAGACGAGCCCCGGTGCGTGGGGATCTCGACAGACGTCAAAAAGGCAAAGCTCAAGCAACTGACAGGACGTTATCCGTCCAAGAAGTCAGAGAAGTCGAGACATGCATCCCGCCAGCGCGCCGGTCTCGCAGGGGCAGGGCAGGGCAGGGCATCGTCCGTTTGCGAGCGAGCATTCTTGCTTTGCAGCTGAGGCTGCTGCAGCGAGCGTTAACTCTATCTTGCCGTCTTGTCTCTCGTCTATCCCGTCCTTGTCTGTACGTATGTATTATGTATGTATGCATGTCTCTGGGGAGGCGCCAACTGACGGTGTCGGGCACTTTCAGGCTGCTGGAGCTGCAATCAGTGGCAGTGACATACAGTGACATACCTCTCTCAGTGGGTAGGTACGTAGAGTCAGTCCCCCATGTGCGCTTGTGTATGCTAAGGTAGGCCAATCTGTGTACGAGTGAGTGCAAGCTGCGGGTGTGTCTCCGTGGGGGAGGGGAGGGGAGGATGGTGGATGATGGGTGGGAGCATCGCGTCGCGTTGCGTTTGACGTCGCACAGCTGCAACGCTGGAGCGGCGACGACGACTGCTGCGTACTCGCGCGGTCTGCGCCTTGCCCGAGATGGTAGGTTAGGCAAGCCAGAGTTGAGATCACTGCGGGTGCTTTGTGTGCATGGTCGTCCCCCGTTTTGACTTGACATCGCGGGCGTACTGGCGACTGGCGATCGACGAGTGACGGTCTCGATGCGACTCTCGACGTGAGGTTGTTTAGTGTTGATGTCTATCGATGGGACCCCGGGCTGGGGTTGTACCTACGCGCAGCATGCAGGTATGTAGGCATGTAGGTATGTATTAGCCTTGGGATACGAACCCGTGACGCTGGACAGGCAGAGACGGGCGAGACACCGGGACGGATCTGCCATTTGCGATGGGCGCAGGTAGGTAGGCAGGTAGGCAGGTAGGGTATGTCGACGCGGCGGCGGATGCGAGATCAGAGATGCGAAAAAGCAAGCGGACGAGATAGAGACCTGCAGCTCCAAGATGGCCGGTAGGCGCCTTGATTGGCGATGTCGCTGACGATGGCTTGCGCATTAGGCCCGGATATTTCCACCAGCCAGACGCCCAAGGTGAACCCAGATCTGAGTCTGTCTTGGTCTCTTCTGGAACGGGGTATTTGAGATTGCTTTAGAGTCTCGTGTGTCTTGGTCCGTAAACGCACATCATCATCGTACGAAAGTCGACATACGGCCTACATGCGCACGCAGCACGGCAAGCCGTGAAGAGGCGGGGACAGAGCGTGTTGGTTCACGAAGTAGAGACAGAAGAAAAAGAAAGACACAAAATGACCGATGTCGTACAGGAGCAGAGGTTTGAGACGCCCGGAGAGTTCCCAAAATACTGGGCGCCAATTCGTCGTGTCACAGAGTTTACTCTACCTTGGTGGACCGTCTCACAGACAGCCAAACGGCGTCAACCCCATCCAGCCCGCATTTGCGTGGAGTCTTTGCTATGTGTATGTGGGTTGGATGCCGTCGCAGTATGCAGTCAAGGTCATTTGGAATGGGAATTGAGAATGACATGCGGTGGAAGGCGGTGGTTGGCCTCAAATGTCTGGCAGAGGGAACCTCGGTCAAGGGTCCTTCCCGGATGGGACAAGATGTTCGCCAGAATCATCCAAGCCAAGTCCGATAGATGGTCCGGAATCATCAACTCTGATGGTCAATCACCACGGCTCTTTTGAACCCCAGCGTGGTGATGGTGTGAATGCCCGGGAGTTGAAGGACGATCCAACCGCTCACCCCAGTTCGTCCATCTCACGCCCTCTCTCTCTCTCTCTCATCCACCCCTTGCCGACGACACCTCTACTTGGCTCGTCTCTTCCCGAACTCCGGCAGTGACGGAGGGTGCGGGATAGGTCGAGGATCGCGACCGCATTCCAACCACACTCCAACAGCACGGCTGACCGTTTTTTTATTCTCCCTCGACCGTTTCCCCCAATGGCGATGGCCTTGAATTCCACCCAGTCCGCTACAACATTGGTGGCGTCCTCCATCACAACCAAGCCCTCGTCACCCTCCCCGGAAACTCACAGATCGGGCTTTGGATGCTGGAGGGCGCTGCTGTCCCGGTGCTGCAGTACGGGATTCGATGGTTGAGGGGAGCAGAGAAAGGGAGAGAGAGGGCGAGGGCATGGAGCAACTTTGGTGCGCCGGGGCATCATGGGGCCGCCGCGTGATGGAGGCACGCCACCTTGGGTCTCTTGGTCTGGAGGATGGTGGTAATGGTGGTGGTGGTGGTGGTGGTAGTGGTGGTGATGCTGTTATGGTGGTGAGGGGTCGAGTTGAGGGGCCGGTCGGGGAGTGGGCAGGCATAAGAGACATCGACGAGGGTCTGATGCACGTATGTAGGCTGCACCGCGAGGAATACCGCCGACGGGTCATGGACATGACATTGATGTTTGCTCGTACGAGAAGAAAATGTCTTAGCCACCGCGGAGTGAGGCTCGACTAACACGGCATGCGGTATGGCTTGGCGGACAAGGCAAGGAAGGCAATGGCGAGCGAGTGGATGGGCGGCATGGGCATGGACATGGGCAAAAAGAGGGTACTCGCGATGTCTACGGAGAGGCGTGTACTCACGGGCTGGGTATCACGGCTCTGGATACATGACTTGCAATGACGTGAAGTATTGTGTGGGTTTCCAGGCGAGGCCGAGTGTGAGAAGAGACATGACGATGGTCCCTTGATCAGAACTGATGCATGTAAGTCAAGGTGAGCGAGTGAGAGAGCGACCCCCCGTGTTTGACGGGCAGGGGGGTTGCTGAGGCGAACGCGTCTGCGGTGGAGGCTGGCTCACTTATATGATGAGGACGCTCCCGTGTGTGCCGAAAGTCATGGTTGAGCTTGTATAAACCCTTCTTTCCATCTTGCTGCCTCTTCACTTTGTCAACGACGACCAAAGTCGAATTATTAATAGGAGGTGCCTAGCCCAGCGCCGTTGAAGTGGCCGCCAGCTCCCGTCTGCGCCTCGTCTCGCCTCGCCCATACCATACCATCAACTCACATCACCTGGACCCAAGACCAACAAACACTTGGGGTAGCTAGGCATACTCGACCTCCAGTCATCCGTTTCCTCACCGTCCCCAGTCTGCTGCCATTCGTCGGCCCCCCTCAAGAAAGACAAGACGCCACCAGCGGTGGGAGATGACCCCTGAGCAGAGCGTCGGCCGAGCCAGCAGCGACAGCGACGGTCGAACCCCCACAGCGGCGCCCGTCCGTTAGATACGCAGTCCATTTTGCCGCCTGGATTAAAGAAAGGCAAAGCAAAGCAAAGAAAGGCAAGGCAAATCAAGGCAAGGCCAGGTCAGGTAACCGGCAGTCGACGAGCATTTCCGTGTCTGGGTACGTACATGACCACTGAACCGGCGGGGATTCTCTCTCTCTGAACCAAGTGTACCTACCTTACATGGCTACATGGATAGACGGGGGGGGGGGGGGGATGTAGGTCGCCTGTCTTGTCCATTTGATCTAATCTCCAACCTCGCAGGCCCAGGCACGGCATAGAGCACGCAGCTGATTCGCCGATTGCCTCATCTCGCGGTATCTTGGTATCAGCTCCCGCCATCATCGGGCTCACTCTCGTGTTGCTATTACTGTTGTTGTTCTTCTTCTTCACATTCAGTCCATCCGATCTCTGTGGACATTCTTCTTCTTACACTTTTCTTACTCGCGCCACCCGCCAAAATAGCTAGGTCTCCAAAAGGCCCCCGTCTTCACAGCCATCGGCCAACATCCTGGGGTTCCTCGAATCCTTATCGTGTGTATATCTATCTGTCTGGGTATCTACCTGCGTTGGGCATCCCGCCCGGCCGCCCGTCCGCACCGTCTATCCGCCCGCAGACCAGGCATAAGAGGGAGACATCGCGTCGCATCAGATGCACATCGCTCACTCGGTACCTTCTTACCCTGCTTGGCCCGCCTGCTGTCCTTGACAAAGTACAAAGCAACGGATATCGAGTCCAGCACGGCGCTACCTTTGTTAGCCAAAGGCATCGATCGTCTTTTGGCTGCGCTTCCATACAGAAAGCGCCGCGCCCCGCCCCCGTGTGCCGCCTCATACACCGGCACCACACACTACCTTAGACACTACGCATTTACACTACACTGCATCACATTGCACTTGTTGTGGTTGTTGCCGACACTGGTTGATTCCCTCTTCTTGCGGGTATTCTCTCCAAGGGCGTCGATCGACCTCTCTCTGACTCTGTCTTTGCGTCGTCGGGTTGCCATCCATACAGGTTCTCGTCTCATCGCAGCAGAGGGAACCGCACTGAGTGGCTGACTCGAGACATTCAACACTTCGGTCGCAGCACGGCTTCAGCTGCAGCATCGACCCCGGTTTTGGTTTCCATTGGTCTTGGTGCTGGCTCCTTCGTCCCTCGTCTTGTGATAGACTTTGGGACTTATTGCATCAGTAGCGACAACAACGACAACAACATTGACATTACAATCATCATCATCCTCCTCCTCCTCATCGACATCAGCATCAGCACCAACAACAAGCCGTTGTGTGCTCCTCATCTCCCCCCTCATCATCGCCGTCGTCTTCTTCCGAGCCAAAGCAGCCAAACCCGCGTCTGATCGAGGGGCCACCTCCTCCCATCTACCACATACATCCTTGAACCACCACCGCC